CTGGAACCTGGGGTTGTTCCTGCCCAGATTTATTCCAACTGCTTCTTCAAGAGCGGTGTTTGCCAGCTCCTCATCCAGGCTCTGCACCCGTATGGACATCAGTTGCACCTACAATTAAAGCAGCTTTTGAAATCAGCCCAGCCGCTGTGCTTGGACACGGGCCCGCCTGGAGGGTTTGTGGGGCCTCTTTCGGGAAGCTCACGCAGTGAAGCGGGCAGGCTCCACTAGAGGGGGCTCCCGGCCCTTCCAGCTTCACAGCGCGGAAAGGGACCGGCTCCTGAGCTGGTGCTGCTGGGGCAGTGAAAGAAACGGCGATGCGGGTTTGGGCCAGTAAGGGAGCGGAGATCTGGGGACATGCAGTGATGCAGGGCTAACACATGGCCAAATTACTCCCATGAAAACTGGTGTCTCAGAGCTATTAGCAGAGACAGGGTTCTCTGTGCTATTCTGTGGACGATCCACAAGACTGACGGCCTCAGTGCTGTTTTACGTCACCAAATGTGTAACCTGAGGTTGAAAAGTTAAAAATAAATCCAGAATTCTGCTCAGAAACTGCCACAAGGATGGTAAAACAGCAAATGGGGGCAGAGATGTGTGCATGATTGCTCATTAACAGGAAGTCTGAGAGTCCTGCTGCTGTCCTCTTTCCACCAAAACCTTGTTCTGGCCACTTGAGACATCCTTTCACTGTGCCCCAGGTAGTCCAGAACATCCCAATCGGAGCCCACAGGGCTGCACAGCAAGACTGCCCTCTGCTCCTCAGCTCTGAGCTGAAAGCAGCCCTTCAGAACAGCCAGAGGTTGGGGCACGCTCCCGGCTCCTGCCTGGGCAGCACTGGAAGGAAGATCAGCATCCATCAGACCTCAAAACCTGGGATGGCTTCTTGGGACCTGGCCACGGACCAAACACAAACACAGCCAGCAGCAGGTTCTGCTGTTGAAGCGATTTATGATCTTCCAATGCAAACACCTTTGTTTTGCCAGCACAGGCACGGCTCAGTCTCATGCTCTCACAACTGCCATGTGCCACAAGGAAAGTATTTTGTGTTGCACCGAGTTTCTTTGGCACCCTGTGCCGCTTGTTAGGCTGTGCCTGAACTACCACCGGGCTGGCCTCCTGTCCACTGGAGTCATCTTTTGACTTTTCAAGGACCTTACAAGCTCCACTTAATGCGGTCTCCCAGTTCTTCTGCGGGATGGCTGCAACCAAGCAACATTACAATGCTCACTTAATTTTACTGTAGGTATCTTTGTTTCCCTAGGAGATTTCCATCCTCTGGATGTGTGCCCAGCTGCTGCCACAGGCTGTTTTGGGTTGATTTTTTTCGCATTGTTCGCAGGCTTTTCTTGCAAACAAATGACCCTCGGTCCTTCGGGCTATTTACAAACACCTTCAAGCAACTTTTCTTTTGGGAGCAAGATTACCTCCCACAAGAGGGGAGTGGTTTCAGGTGGAAGCTGGGAGGAGGCAAGATTGCAACACAAAAGAGCAAAGGAATATGGGAGGCAGAAGAAATTAACCTTGCCTTGAAAATCTCCCTGATTTACCCACAAAAGGGAGCAGCACTGGCCGCACCTTGCTTTTCGGTGCCAGGGCAGGGAGTGCTCTGTGACTCAAGTGGGAAGGAGTTCGCACGTTGCCTCGCAGGCCAAGCTGAAAGGAATTTGCCCTGTTGTGCTGGGAAGCCTTTGAGAAGCTCATCTTTGACCCGGCCAGCAAGAAGCCGAAGTGAATTCTTTCTGTACGTGGGGTACGGACTTGTCTTCCCCATGGACGGCCCCAGCTGGCTGGGCGCTGCGCTCTTCTTTGGGGTGCAGCTGCGAGGTAAGGAACCCTGGCACTGCCTGGCCTCCGTTGCCATCTTGACTTTCTTCTTCTGATCTCTTAATTATCGTCCTCGTTAAGGCAGCGACTCCACAGGAGTCTCGGGTAGTTGTGGACGATCGCTGCAGTTCTCTCAGTCCGGGGCTCACTGCGACTGACGCTGCGTGACTGGGTTTCTTCACAAACAGGTTTAGGCGTGTTGGCAGAAGAAGAACACTGCTCGCATTCTGAGCTCTGGTTACACACCTCTTTCTGTCCCGCCGGGAAGCTGGACTTTACTCCTGGATGGGTTTTTTCACTGTCTTTGTCACTAGACAACGAGAGATTGTTAAACTGCACTGGCTTTAGATCCCTTACAGCAACTGGCAAAAAACCGCTTCTGCTTCCTGTGGTTTATCTCAGTACGGCTGGAATCCAAGAGCACCACGTCCTCCTTCCCCAAGTGCATCGGCACAGGGTGGTCTGTCTCGAAAAGAATCTGTCTTTCACGCTGATTTCCCACGGTTGTTCTTTCAAAGGTGTTTAAAATGGAAAGATTTGACACCAGATCTTCGGATGAGAAATGTGATCCCTGCTGATGAAGTTTTTCAAATGTGAACACCTTCAATGTTTTGGCATTTCACATATTTCATCCTTTGAGGAAAAAAAATAGTTAATTGTTTATAAATTATTTTCTAATACAGGAAATGTATTGAACATCTTTATGATGAAACCGTGTTTTACAACCCCAGATAAGCTTTTTTTCGCTTGAATCGCACTGGGGTGAGTTAACTCGTATTCCTAAAGTGACAGGAAATTAGTAATATTTTATTACCTATTAAATATTTTATTAAAATTATGACTATTTTCTTTTTCTGCCGGGTTAGTTTGCCCAGTGAGTAGAAGGAAAGTAATGGCAGCACACGGTCAGGAGCAGGGAGAGCTGTCCCTTGCAGCAGCAGCAGGGTTTTTGCTCAGCACTGCAGTTCTGTGGAAACTTGGAAACCTGCGGGTTTTCCTATTTTTCATTTTTCTTCTTTCTTTGTCTTGATGCCCTCTCTCTTGCTGATTGTCTCTCTTTCAGGGTACTCTAATTTGATGGAAACTGATTCTTAAAGCGGCAGCTGTGGTGGTTTGATTAACAAAGGATGTTTCTGTGACAAGCAAATGCTTACAGCTTTACCTTGAGGATTTCCTGTAGAGCCCCTCAGGCTGGCTGTATTTGAATACAGCTGTCCAGCTGGGCTGTCAGCCTTCCGACAGGCACTTTGCGCATCGATAAGAG